GGAACCAATTTTCTTTTATTTGGACTAAGAGATAGTTGATTGAATAGTACGTCTTTGTTGCTAATGGAAAACCTCGACAATTTCCAATATACATGTTTACATCCAAAAATAACATCAAATGGTAGGCTGCCACCGCCACATGTCTGCTTAAAATAGTGAAAGTTTGAGATGATACCATGACACACATTATCAAGGGGAGTTCAAAGTTCAGCATTGGAGGCATTCTGGAATGCTAAGGACTACAAAACTATCTGCTCTTCTTGTTTTTCAGCTTTTGCTCTTCTTTCATGAGCTTTTGATCTTGCTTTGATTTTACTTTGTTTTTCTCAGAGAAATTCTCTCTATGACTCCATCTAATAGTATTCACCTCCCGTGGTTCAAATGTATTAATCTTTATCAGAATACACGTGAGTGTAAAAACAAATATTATTGGATAAAAAGAAAAGAAAAAAAAAGAGATAAGAATTAAACTTTAATTCAAATACAAAATTTAGTCAAATTTAAATACAAAATCTCTAAATAAATATTTAGAGGTAACAAGCAAACATAAATGAAATTTTCTTTTCATGGTCCTCTTTATGGTTCTCTTTTTCCGTTTTTTCTCTTTTTTTTTTTACAAGAAAAAATCGTATTAGATTAAGTGTTAATATCTATATCTATAGTTGTTAAGGAAAATCGAATCTTAAAATTAAGTTACATTCTACTTGCTACTTAATAAATAACATGATCACCACTGAACCACATATAAAATTACTTTCTTGCCCTTTTTTTTTACCCTTCTAGTGGCTGCACTTGTCTTTATTTTTTTTCGCCGCCCACATATACAAATAAAAAATATTTTGCACCCTAATATTATATAATTGAAAAGACTCTAATATTGTATAAATTAAAAAGATATTAAAAGTTAAATTTTATTAAATAAAAAGACGTACATAAAATTAATAAGAAATGAAATCTTATTAAAATTAAATATATAGCAATACTTAATACATGTTTGGATATTTATTGATTTTTTTTTACAATTTATTGAGTATCTATTTAAATCCAATTGATATTTATTTAATAATTTTTAAAAAATTATTATTATTATTATATATATAGTTAAAATTAAAATTAAGATTAAGTTATTTTGGTAAAACAATAATCATGATGCCACCTGACATCGTCTTAATAGACTAATCAGTGTAGCTTTCCATGACACTTGTTGCAGGATCCTAGAGTCGGGCAGATGGTTAAGTGCTACTTTTTCGCCTCACCAATTTGACTATGAAATATGTGGCTATTTATTTCCGCCGTTAAGATGGTTAAGATTTAAAGAACACTAAAATTTTAGTTTTTTTTTTAATAGTATTTTTAAAATTAATTATCTAAATAATTTAATGATCATATTTTTTCATTAAAAATAAAAAATTTTAAATTTGAATCGCATAACATGTGATTAGGGTAAAATAATGTATGAAAGATAATTATTTTTCATTATGTAACTAAAATAAAAAAAATAGTGTTTTTAAAAATTAATATATTAGTTAATTTCAATATATTAATTAATAAAAATTAATTATTTTATTAGTTATTGATATTATAATTATTAATAATATTTATTAATTAAATTAAATAAAATTAATGTTTTTATATACAATATTTTACCATTTTAATGATCATATCAATAATATTTGTCGTCGTAACCTTACCCATTATAAAAGGGCAAGCCTTACATTCGCAAAAGGTATTTCTCATTCCAATTGCACATAGTAATTCGTTTCTATCCTTCAAAAAAAAAAAAAAAAAAAACATTTTAGTCCTCCGCAAACCGCAACACACTTATTCAAGGGGCTTGATTATTGCTGCGTGGCCTTTTGTTATAACCACAAAAACAATATAGTAGATGTATTTAGTTTGATTAATTTTATTAGTTTATATATATATGTAAAAAGATATTGTAATTATGGTATTTAAAAATATTATTTAAAAATTAATTTTATTATATTAAATAATAAATATAAATTATTTATCAACTAATAACTAGAGTTATCAATTAATCTTTTTTGCCAAAACAATATTTTATGTGATCTTGTGTGGCAATAACTATAATTATTAAGAAGGAACTAAAATGTTCTTAATAAGATATAAAGTCAATATACAAGTGCATAATCCACTAGCTATTAAAAGAGAAAAAATAACTTACATACATGTCTTTTCTGTTTTGCAATTAGCAATCTAAAATGCATTGGGTTATAATACAAAAATTTTTAAATGAGGGGAACCGCCTCCAATATCAAGGGGTGGGTTCCCCACTTAAAAATTTAAATTATAGAATTTAATACAATTAAGTACAATATAAATAAAAATATTATAATTATAATTTTGTGTAATATTATAAGTTATAATATTAAGTGTCTTTATATAACTAATATTTTTATATTCAAGATTTATTTATAATATTATATATTTATTTATTATTATTTTATATTCATTT